CGTAATCTGCCGTGCTGAGGCTGACTACCTCACCCCTCCTTTGTCCTGGAGGTGTCTATTATGGTTTTGTCGGTGGTCTTTAAGGCGCGAAAGGACGTGGTGGGATGACTGGATTGGTGGGTTTCGGTGATGGCCGCTGTGATAAGTCCTTGCATATAAATCTTTCTGCAACTGCATCACTGAAGCGATAATTTCTGACAATAATATAAAGTATGTTTCTGTTTACGTAGTCCTGTAGAGAACTTCAGTCCTAGGCTAATTCCATTCTGCCACCAGGCCACAGTAAAAAAAAGCTCTCGCTTCACACGGTGAGGGTCTGGGTTCGATTCCCGGCGAAGGAGTGGAAACATTGAATGTGTTTCCTTACACCGGTTGTCTATGTTCACACATCAGTAAAATGGGTACCTGGGTGTTAGTCGACTGGTGTGGGTCGCATCCTAGGACAAAACTGATCTAATTTGCACGAAATGCTCTGCATAACAAGCGGCTTTCTATATAGTAGTATGTTATTGATGTCAGCTAGGCCTACATACCTTGTACATGTACTTATAGTAAATATATTATTATTATTATTATTATATATAAAATGAAGCTACACCTAGAGCCCTGGAACAACAATCAAGAAACACAAGTAAGCGTTCAGCTGTGACAGTCAGAACGCCTCAGTGCTGGAGGCAATGATGTAGGCAAGCGTAGAAGTGAGGATTTAGTTAGAAAGTTCAGGACAGCTATAGACATAATTAGGAAGAAGGGGGGGCGCCCTGTTATATGTGGGATTTTGCCAAGAAGAGGTGTTGGTAATGAATGGTTGTCCAGAGCAATTGGTATTAATTGTTGGCTGGATAAACACTAAGGATAATGCAGTACCATTCATTGACAACTGGGACAACTTCTATGGCCGAAATGACATGTATTCCAGGGATGGGGTTCACTTATCCAGGGCAGGTGTGGGTTTTCTTGCTAACTCAGTTGAGGGGGTTGTTAGAACTTTAAACTAGGATTAGTTAGAGGTATGGGTTTAGAAATGATAAATAACGAGTATGGATATATTGACTTATGCTCTGATATTAAGAATCTTAATAGTAACTGTCATGGAGTAACTCTGGGTAATGATAATTTCAGAAATTGTGTTAAAACAAAGATGACTAGGAAAAATGAGAAGAAAAAACATATGAAGGTGTTTTATGCTAACAGTCGAAGTGCAAGAAATAAAATTAATGAACTACGTTTGGTAGCATGTGCTGGGAACTTTGATATCATTGCATTAACTGAAACGTGGTATGATTTAAAGAGTCGGGACATGACTGCTGAGTGTAATATTCAGGGATTTAAGTTGTTCAATGTGGATAGATCTAATGGGAAGGGGGGAGGAGTTGCATTGTATGTTCGAGAAAATATTAATTGTTGCATAAAAACAGGTATAAAAATAGATGGAGCAGTAACAGAGTCTGTTAGGTAAGACACATATGCAACAGTTAGACAACTTTATTCCGAAACGTTTCGCCTACACAGTAGGCTTCTTCAGTCGAATACAGAAAGTAGGCAGGAACAGTAGAGATGTGAAGACGATGTAATCAGTCCATCACCCTTGTAGTCGTAGAATTTGAGGTTGTCAGTCCCTCGGCCTGGAGAAGTTCAGTTCCATAGTCAGGAACTATCTGAAGATCAAGCGACAGTGCAGAGACTTAAATACTGTCGGAAGGAGAGGTGCAGAGTAGTAGTAGTAGTAGTAGTAGTAGTAGTAGTAATGAGAATGTAGCCACTGAGAGGTCATGTCCCTCTCAGATCCAACACTTCTCACTTGAAAAGCTTGTCCAAGGTGTTTTCTGTACCAAGATGCCATGTGTTGCAGTGTCTGACAAGATGAACATCAAAATGGTATACAATACCGACAGGTTGTTAGGTAAGACACATATGCAACAGTTAGGTATCTTTATTTTGAAACGTTTCGCCTACACAGTAGGCTTCTTCAGTCGAGTACAGAAAAGTTGATAGAAGCAGTTGATAGAAGTTGATAGAAGGGTGATGGACTGATTACATCGTCTTCAAGTGTCTTCTGCTTCTATCAACTTTTCTGTACTCAACTGAAGAAGCCTACTGTGTAGGCGAAACGTTTCAAAATAAAGATACCTAACTGTTGCATATGTGTCTTACCTAACAACCTGTCGGTATTTTATACCATTTTAATGTTCAATCTGTCAGACACTGCGACACAAGGGTATCTTGGTACAAACCTGAAATCAACTTCGACAACCTCTACTAGTGAGAACGGCTGGATTTGAGAGGGACCTGACCTCCCAAAGTGACCTACGTCTCACCTCCTGGCGCTATATAAGGCTCCATTCTGTCCTTTCAACTTTATATTGTTTCAGACTTCGGAACAATGCTCTTCTCCAGACTGAGGGACTGACCACCTCAAATCTTTAAGGGTGATGGACTGATTACATCGTCTTCAAGTGTCTTCTGCTTCTATCAACTTTTCTGTACTCGACTGAAGAAGCCTACTGTGTAGGCGAAACGTTTCAAAATAAAGATACCTAACTGTTGCATATGCGTCTTACCTAACAACAGGTTGTTAGGTAAGACATAAGATACCTAACTGTTGCATATGTGTCTTACCTAACATTGCTGTCTTGGTTTAAGGTTGCTGCTTACCATAACCCCCAAGTCCTTTTCGCAATCTGTATGGCTAAGTTCTACATTATTTAACTTATAAGTGCTAGGGTTACGGACACTCCCGAGCTTCAGAACCTTGCATTTATCTACATTGAACTGCATCTGCCACTTTTCTGACCAAGAGTAGAGTTTGTCTAAATCCTCCTAAAGTTCCCTAACATCTACGTTTGAATCAATTATCCTACCTATCTTCGTGTCATCGGCGAATTTGCTCATATCACTAGTAATTCCTTCATCAAGATCATTGATATATATTATAAACAACAACGGGCCCAAGACTGATCCCTGTGGAACGCCACTTGTTACTGATCCCCACTCGGATTTAACCCCATTTATGGACACACTCTGCTTCCTGTCTGTGAGCCATGATTCGATCCACGAGAGCACCCTTCCCCCAATGCCATGAGCTGCTACTTTCTTCAACAGTCTTCGGTGCGGAACTCTATCAAATGCCTTACTAAAATCTAAGTAAATAATATCAAATTCTTTATCGTGGTCAACAGCCTCAAAAGCTTTACTGAAGAAAGTTAATAAATTAGTTAGTCAAGACCGGCCTCTTGTGAATCCATGCTGAGTATCATTAATCAAGCTATGCTTATCGAGATGGCTTCTTATAATCTGAGCTATAATTGACTAGTAATTTGCCTACAATTGAGGTCAGGCTTATTGGGCGGTAATTTGACGGTAACGACTTGTCCCGTTTTAAAAATAGGAATTACATTAGCCATCTTCCACATATCAGACACTACACCTGTTTGAAGAGATAAATTAAAAATATTAGTTAATGGTTCACAGACTTCCATTTTGCATTCCTTTAGAACCCTTGAAAAAACCTCATCAGGACCCGGTGACTTATTTTGCTTCAGTCGGTCTATCTGCTTCACAACCATTTCACTAGTGACTGTGATGTTACATAATTTATCTTCTGGCCCACTATAAAAATTAATTACCGGAATATTATTAGTGTCTTCCTGTGTAAAAACCGAGAGAAAATAATTATTTAAAATCGAGCACATTTCAGTCTCTTTGTCAGTAAGATGCCCATAGTTATTTTTAAGGGGACCTATCTTATCTCTAACTTTTGTTCTATATACCTGGAAAAACTTTTTGGGTTAGTTTTAGAATCCCTAGCAACTTTAATTTCATAGTCCCTTTTAGCTTTTCTTATCCCCTTTTTAATGTCCCTCGTAATGTCAATATACTAATTCATAAGACGACCCTCGCCTCTTTTGATACGCCTATAAATTCCTTTCTTATGCCCTAGTAGATATTTCAGCCTATTATTCATCCATTTTGGGTCATTTCTATTTGATCTAATTTCTTTATAAAGGATAAACGTTCTTTGAGCAGCATGTATTGTGTTCAGAAAACTGTCATATTGATAGTTCTCTTCGTTATCCCAGTCAAAAGATAAGTGTTCTCTAAGCCTATCGTAATCTGCTAAGCGAAAATCTGGGACTGTTACTGAGTTATCCCTACTATCATACTTCCATTCAATTCTAAACGTAATTGATTTGTGGTCGTTAGCACCCAGTTCCTCTGAAACTTCTAAATTATTAACAAGGGATTCATTGTTTGCCAGAACTAAGTCAAGCAGGTTATTACCCCTTGTAGGTTCTGTCACAAACTGCTTCAAAAAAACAATCCTGAACTACTTCTAAGAAGTCGTATGATTCTAAATTCCCAGTCAAGAAATTCCAATCAATATGACTAAAGTTAAACTCTCCTAGAATTACTACATTATCGTGCCTTGTGGCCCTAACAATTTCCTCCCATAGTAGTCTCCCCTGGTCCCTATCTAAATTTGGGGGACGGTATATCACACCTAAAATTAATTTTTCATGCCCCTCTGAAAATTCTATCCAAACAGACTCTGTATGTGTTACTTCAGACTTAATACCAGTTTTTATGCAACAGTTCAAGCGATCTCGGACATACAATGCCACCCACCCCCCTTCCCGATACTTCTATCTACTTGGAACAATTTAAAACCCTGAATGTGACATTCTGCAGGCATGTCCCGACTTTTTGAATTAAACCACGTCTCAGTAATGGCAAATACATCTATGTTACCTGCACTAGCAACTAGTCTCAACTCGTCCATCTTATTCCAAGCACTGCGACTATTTGTGTAATAAATATTTAAAGACCCTCCTCTCTCTTTACCCTTCCTGCTCCTTTCTGTTATTCCACTAAACCTATTACTGTCCTTGTCAATTAGTGCCACTGGCTTTCCAATATCCACCTCATTTTGCCTATTACTAGTTCTCCTAGTACTCGTATTACTACCCTGCGACTTCACAGTTTTCCCGCAAAAACCCATACCACTAACTATTCCTAGTTTAAAGACCTAACAGCTCCCTCCACTGCGTTGGCCAGTGCTCCCACCCCACACCTAGATAAGTGAACCCCATCCCTGGCATACATGTCATTTCTGCCATAGAAGAGGTCCCAGTTGTCAATGAATGTTACCGCATTTTCCTTACAGTATTTGTCCAGGCAGCAACTGACACCAATTGCTCTGGACAACCATTCATTTCCAACTTCTCTCCTTGGCAAAATGCCACATATGACAGGTTTCCCACCCTTCCTCCTAATTATCTCTATTGCTGACCTATACCTGCTAATCAGGTCCTCACTCCTACGTCTGCCAACATCGTTGCCTCCAGCACTGAGACAGATAATAGGATTGCTCCCATTACCTCTCATGATGTCATCCAGACGGCTAACAATATCCTTCATCCCAGCCCCAGGAAAACACACTCTCTGCCTCCTACTCCTATCCTTCAAGCAGAATGCCCTATCCATGTACCTAATCTGGCTATCCCCAACAACAACGTTTTTACCTTCCTTGGCGTCGTCCGTCGTGATGCTCAGAGTAGTCGACTCACATTCGCCAGGTAGCATTACACCACTTGTAGAATTCGTCAAGACGTTCTCGATGGTCTTCGTTGGGGTTTCTAGGGATGTCTTACTCACATCTGCCAATGCTTCTTTGGTGCTCGTTGTGGCATTCCCAGTAGAACACTCACATTCGTCAGGTAGCACCGAGAATGGGTTGGAAGTTTCCACGGTAGTCTTCTGGTTTCTCGTTGTTTCTGCCTCCCCAACCGTTTTCTTGATCTTCAGCTTGGTTCCATGTTGCCCGGCCACTGACCAAGCTCCCCTCTTAACCTGGGGACTCACAACAGGAGGATTACTACTAATCCTCTTGTTCTCCTCCGTTAATCGCCGTATCTCCATCTTAGCAACTCTGAGCTCTTCTCTCAGCTGCTGGTAAAGTTGCTCAAGAGAGGGCATCCTGGTTCAGATTCACAGAGAGCACACAAACAGGTCTTCACAGAGCTAAGTACACGTCACCACTGAGCATTAATGATGTTCATGTTCCTCTCACCACCTCCACCAAATGATCCAGCCCACCACATCTGATACTGTTTACTCCCAGTCTGTGCGCATCACTATTCTCAACAACCAGTTATTCTCAGCTGTTTTGGCGAGCAGTTTGTCCACTTCATAACGTGTAATATTTGGCCAGCACACGAGAGGAGCCAGGTACTGCAGGTCAGGACAGTACTGTAGGAGACAGTCCAAGCCGTAAGTGCTGATCATGCACTGACTTATCTTCAACTTTTCTACCTTTTTCAAGCCACCAGCCGTCAAGATGCGGAGCAGCAGCTCGTCGTTGATACACCTGTACGTCTCCTCATTGCCCATACTCTCAAGGAAGGTTAGTTCAAGAGAGCGCAGGTTAGGAGTGCGAGTCAGTAAGTTTATGATGGTAATAGAGGAATCAACTGTAACTGTCGCCACGCTAAGGACATTCCAATTTTGTGTGACTGCCATATGTTTGACCTCCAGGGTGGCTTCAATACGCTCCAAGTTTGGAGTCAATTCTACTAGCCACGTAAGGTCGAGAGGACAATTTATACTATCGACGAGGATAAGTTGCTTTAGTGTCTCTCCTCTTATTACAAGATAGTTGTACAGAGAGTTAACACTGTACTTGAAGTCAATATCAACAGATAGATATTCAAAAGGGAAGAGGAAATGCAGTGAAGGTAATGAAGCTTCGTGGGTAAAAATGGCAGTTACGTCAGGGCAAGCTATGCTTAACAAAGTGGCCTGATGTGGCAAGATATCTGCATCCCACATTTTGTTTAGCTTGAACTGCCTCAACCCTTCCTCCGGCTGAAGCAGCTCAATGACCCTAGTGAGAGAGCAAGTAATAGGGTAGCTCCCTAGGGAGGTCAGGCCTGGGAGACAATGAAGAAGCAGTGCCGCACCTATTCCACCCACTTGGGTGCCGCTCACACATACAAAACTGAGAGTTGAGCAACAGGGATTGAGTGGTAGTGTTTGACGACCAATTTCCTGAGGGTTTAGCCCTTGTAGGGCCTGAGAGTTACTCAGAACCAAGGCTGCTACACCCTCGTCATTAACCGTCAGAGAATCGGAAATGTCAAGATGCTGCAGGTGACGACAGTTTGTACCCAAAATTTTCATGACGATTGTATCACATATGCCACCCAGTGTAAGCCATCGCAAGTTACGCATCTTTTCCAGTGATAAGTAAAAGGTTTTATTAATAGTAGATATATACCTTTGATCAGTCTTGTGCCTCACGTCACATATTGCGCCCAACCTAGTGAGATTAAAGAGAGAGGCAACATTTAGAGCGTTATAAAAGTGCATCATCTCTTCGATAAATGCAGAGCCTCCTTGGGTAAAGTCGACATAATGCGTTGTGTCGTCTCCCAACACCTGCAGCAACTTGCATTTCGTGTCTATGAAGAGTTTACTTCTCTTCACATTGAAGATGAGGGTGAGCAGCCGCTGCCGGAGAAGCGGGCATAGTGAGGAGAGGAGGTACTTACGCAGAGGGATGCGATGATTTCCAGACGCTAATGGGCATCTCACACACTGGAACAACCATCGCCATACCCTCTCCATGGACATGTCCCTCAAAGTATTCAATTTCTTCACTGGTGGCATTGTGCTGCTTAATCTTCTTGGGACTTTTATGTAATGATCTAACTACTAAACAGTAACTGTTTGCACGCCGACTTCTATCATGGTGGCTTATAAACAATCTAACCGCTTATGTATCTCATGTTATGTAGTGTACAGATCATCCGAATGACAACACTGGCCTTCGTCTTATGATCTGTATATTCGCTATGAAAAAAAAAAAAATACTCGCAAAAATGTACTAAACTCGATATGAATCTAAAGTTTCGTCCCCCCACCCACATAGAATATAATTAAAGAAATAACTAACCAAAAAACATATTGGCACAGTTTCTCTCGTCTCCCATACTTTCTGCCACACGAGTTCACGGTAAGCATAAGACTGGTAAATCAAGCACTTCTGACGTCAAACCATATATCAGCGAAAATTCTGAATGCCTCTCACCTAATATTTGGCAGCGAGCGAGATTGCATCGCCGGTGTCGCTATAAATCAGAGCTTATACCATAAGCTCAACTGTATATAAAAGTATCACTGTTCCAAACACAAGAATCATTCAATACTAAAATAGTGCATGGTCTAGCGTTACTTTAAAATGTACTCTACGTTTGTAAGATCTTGTAAGTTCACTGATAGGAGTTTATTACAAATGGCATACAAGTGTGTCGACTACAGTAGTCTTTCGTTTAGGGCTAACTGTAGTCGTGTCGTGCAATTAATGGCGTTGAGTTCTCTAAATTATACTAGTACAACGTAAATGCATGCATGCAGGATTCACTTAAAACTTACAATTCAGAGCACTGCACGGTAAATTGAGGGTTCACTGAAAGACATATAGTCTCAGTTATGGTTGGTAGGTTAGGTGAAGGCTTCAGTGGTTTCACAGGCCAGTAGCAGAAAGGTTTCCATTAAAAGCCATACAACTCTGTGTATGGTATTTTGAAGTCACTTCAGGCTTACACAAGGTAACATAGCACGACAATCACGAGATCATACAAAACTATGCATGATAATGCTGAAATAAATTACAGAACATACCGAAAATTTTCCAGTATATAGAGTTTCAAATAAGAACAAACACACTGCATATGGTAACATGGAGTTTTCAATGGAGGTTATACAACTCTGTCCATGTCAACAAAGGATTCACTCTTCACTCTAGCAACATCATGTTCAAGAGTCCATATTACTTCTGTATATGGCACCGTGGGGTTTACCTGACGATATAACACTTCGCCTGACAACGTATGGCTTACTCTATAGAAACTTAATGTTCCTTGAGGGCAACAGGGGTGCCATATATGGCGACATGGGTTCACGCAATGGTGACCGTCAACTGGCTTGACTCAGCATGGCAGGAAGTATTTCACAGATTTTCGTCAAAGGATTTAAACGGGTGCTCACCACATTTCACTCCACGATGGTTTTCCCCCCTGATGTTTGGCCGTAAGTGAAGGCTTCCTTGACAAGACTAATCATATGTGAAGGCGAAGTCTGCAAGGAAGAAAGTGCATAAGCTCGTCTCTGCTTCCTTGACTAACCAAGCTAACTTTAACTTGACACAGCATATGCCTGGTCTTCGTCCAAATTAACAATGTTTCTTTAAAAATATTTAAGAAATCTGTATATCACCCACAAAATATTTATTGGGAACAATAATACTTAACAAACATTAAGTATATTTTCCTAGAACTATCATATTTCTCTATGCTAAACTGCTGAACTAATGTTGGGTTTATTTGATAGTTTACCATTAAAGAACACATTCTGCTGACGCCTTCCCGCGTTCCAGTGTAAAAACGAGTGCATTATAGACATCTGATTGTATTCCAATACAATAAATGTTATATATCTATTAGTGACAGCGCAGCATAAATTATAGCGTGGTATTAAGCTGGATAAAATACACAATAAATGGGAGAAAGGAGAGAGGCAGGTGTGAAGTGTGCAAATGAATATTTAGATGTAAGTGTTCTGTTCATGCATGCAACATTATATAATAAATAAATAAATATATAATACAAGGAATATTTTGAGGAATTGTTAAATGTTGATGAAGATAGGGAAGCTGTGATTTCGTGTATAGGGCAAGGAGGAATAACATCTTGTAGGAGTGAGGAAGAGTCAGTTGTGAGTGTGGGGGAAGTTCGTGAGGCAGTAGGTAAAATGAAAGGGGGTAAGGCAGCCGGGATTGATGGGATAAAGATAGAAATGTTAAAAGCAGGTGGGGATATAGTTTTGGAGTGGTTGGTGCAATTATTTAATAAATGTATGGAAGAGGGTAAGGTACCTAGGGATTGGCAGAGAGCATGCATAGTTCCTTTGTATAAAGGCAAAGGGGATAAAAGAGAGTGCAAAAATTATAGGGGGATAAGTCTGTTGAGTGTACCTGGTAAAGTGTATGGTAGAGTTATAATTGAAAGAATTAAGAGTAAGACGGAGAATAGGATAGCAGATGAACAAGGAGGCTTTAGGAAAGGTAGGGGGTGTGTGGACCAGGTGTTTACAGTGAAACATATAAGTGAACAGTATTTAGATAAGGCTAAAGAGGTCTTTGTGGCATTTATGGATTTGGAAAAGGCGTATGACAGGGTGGATAGGGGGGCAATGTGGCAGATGTTGCAAGTGTATGGTGTAGGAGGTAGGTTACTGAAAGCAGTAAAGAGTTTTTACGAGGATAGTGAGGCTCAAGTTAGAGTATGTAGGAAAGAGGGGAATTTTTTCCCAGTAAAAGTAGGCCTTAGACAAGGATGTGTGATGTCACCGTGGTTGTTTAATATATTTATAGATGGGGTTGTAAGAGAAGTAAATGCGAGGGTCTTGGCAAGAGGCGTGGAGTTAAAAGATAAAGAATCACACACAAAGTGGGAGTTGTCACAGCTGCTCTTTGCTGATGACACTGTGCTCTTGGGAGATTCTGAAGAGAAGTTGCAGAGATTGGTGGATGAATTTGGTAGGGTGTGCAAAAGAAGAAAATTAAAGGTGAATACAGGAAAGAGTAAGGTTATGAGGATAACAAAAAGATTAGGTGATGAAAGATTGAATATCAGATTGGAGGGAGAGAGTATGGAGGAGGTGAACGTATTCAGATATTTGGGAGTGGACGTGTCAGCGGATGGGTCTATGAAAGATGAGGTGAATCATAGAATTGATGAGGGAAAAAGAGTGAGTGGTGCACTTAGGAGTCTGTGGAGACAAAGAACTTTGTCCTTGGAGGCAAAGAGGGGAATGTATGAGAGTATAGTTTTACCAACGCTCTTATATGGGTGTGAAGCGTGGGTGATGAATGTTGCAGCGAGGAGAAGGCTGGAGGCAGTGGAGATGTCATGTCTGAGGGCAATGTGTGGTGTGAATATAATGCAGAGAATTCGTAGTTTGGAAGTTAGGAGGAGGTGCGGGATTACCAAAACTGTTGTCCAGAGGGCTGAGGAAGGGTTGTTGAGGTGGTTCGGACATGTAGAGAGAATGGAGCGAAACAGAATGACTTCAAGAGTGTATCAGTCTGTAGTGGAAGGAAGGCGGGGTAGGGGTCGGCCTAGGAAGGGTTGGAGGGAGGGGGTAAAGGAGGTTTTGTGTGCGAGGGGCTTGGACTTCCAGCAGGCATGCGTGAGCGTGTTTGATAGGAGTGAATGGAGACAAATGGTTTTTAATACTTGACGTGCTGTTGGAGTGTGAGCAAAGTAACATTTATGAAGGGATTCAGGGAAACCGGCAGGCCGGACTTGAGTCCTGGAGATGGGAAGTACAGTGCCTGCACTCTGAAGGAGGGGTGTTAATGTTGCAGTTTAAAAACTGTAGTGTAAAGCACCCTTCTGGCAAGACAGTGATGGAGTGAATGATGGTGAAAGTTTTTCTTTTTCGGGCCACCCTGCCTTGGTGGGAATCGGCCGGTGTGATAATAAAAAAAATAAATAATACACACACACACACACACAGGCGAGGTATGATAGAGCTCATGGGACAGGGAGAGAGAGGACCTAGTAGCAATCAGCGAAGAGGCGGGGCCAGGAGCTGTGAATCGACCCCTGCAACCACAAATAGGCGAGTACAAATAGGTGAGTACACACACACACACACACACACACACACACACACACACACACACACACACACACACACACACACCTGGAGAGGGTTTCGGTGTCAGCGCCCCTGCGGCCTGGGGGTCGTTGACCCGTAGTTTGTAATAGCGCAATCTGCAAATCTTAAAATTTATGCAGTTGGCCACTGAAACTAATTTATTTGTGTAAACCCAAAATCCACAGGAATAAATAAGGCAAGTTGTAGAGAATGATGTACGAGAGGGCAAAGCTTGGGGTACGAAATTCTAAATATATATTCTTGAGGTCTTTAAATTTTTCATCTGGATGGAGGAATATACTGCGCCTCACCCAAGGAACTTCCAATCATAGAGTACCAAAATAGATTGATGATAGGAAATTAGGACATTTATGAGCAGGCAAGAAAAGTTAAGAAATATGGAAAGCTAACTACGCTGGTGACGCTAACTGGAAATGGTGGTGGTGACAGGGTGTGTGGGTGGTGGTGACAGGGTGTGACGGTGATAGTGACGGGGTCTGGGGTAGTAGGGACAGGGTATGGGGGGATCTTAACGAGTCTTGGGTTGGTAATGACAGGGTCTGGATTAATGGTACACCTCTGTACACCTTGTAACGTGGGCGAGAAAGATTAATCATAATCTACACCTGGAAAATTCTAGAGATAATGGTCCCAAATCTGTACACACAGTCACTCCTTATGAAAGCAAGGGGCTTGGCAGACGGTGCAACGTGACACTAGAGAAAAGGGATGAAATGAGTACTTTAAGCATAAGTGTAAAGGAACTAAGACTTCAACACTCTTCATCCATAAAAGGAATTACCAAGAGACACCTGGCTACCTCAAGATTTTTAGATTTTGCTGCCGAAGCAGCTAGTTTATTGTGCACCCATATTCATCCTATGGACGGTAGCGCAAGAGCATATGGATGCACGAAAGGCCTGGGAACTAGTCCCCAGTAGGGTTAATAAGATGAAACTTTATAAGTTGATCAAATCAGTTACGGATTAGCCGGGCTGATCCGGAACTGATCAGCACCAACAGCCTTCTCACAATACTTCCTATGGCACTCCACCTTCCTGCCCTCCACCCTCCTCCTAGTTCTTCCTATGTCACTCCACCTTCCTATCCTCCATTCCTCCTAGTTCTTCCTATACCACTCCATCTTCCTGCCCTCCCTTCCTCCTAGTTCTTCCTATGACACCCCACCTTCTGGTTGATCAGGTCACTCGCCAGAAGGCCGACTCTGGGACTGGACGTTGATCTTCGAAACCATTGCCAAGTGAACCACTTTGAACTCAAAGGTATGGACGATATTTAACAGCATTTTAGGCCGCCCAATACTCCCATCCTTTTCCGCTTGCGAATTCTTCGTGTTTTGCTAAACCCCAGGAACTTTCTGATATATTAAACTTACACTATTATTATTTTTATATTATATTTTTTATTATATTAAGGGGAAGTGCTAAACCGAAAGAAGTCATATGACTCCTGGGGAATGTGAGGCAATCAGGATCGATCCAAGTTAGGGTAGGATAAGTCTGATTCCTTGGATCAAGAGCCCCTCACCAGCATCAAGGAACACGTACTGAGGGGGGAACGCCTTTCTTACACACTCATGGAAATACTATTATGCCCCCCAAAAATAAAGTTTCTTGTTCACAATTCATCCATGGCCTACCTACCTAGAGTCTACCTGGAGGGTATTCCGCGGCCCGGTCCACCACCAGGCCTCCTGGTGGATCAGGGCCTGATCAACCAGGCTGTTACTGCTGGCCGCACGTAGTCCAACGTACGAACCACAGCCCGGCTGATCCGGCACTAAGTATCTGTCCAGTTCCTTCTTGAAGGCAGCCAGGGACCTATTGGTAATTCTCCTTATGCATGGTGGGAGGCTGTTGAACAGTCTTGGGCCCCAAACACTGATAGTGTTTTCCCTTAGTGTACCAATGACGCCCCTACTTTTCATTGGGGGTATTTTGCACCGCCTGCCCAATCTTTTACTTTCGTAGGCAGTGATTTCTATGTGCAGATCCAGGACCATTCCTTCTAGGATTTTCCAAGTGTAGATTATGATATATCTCTCTTGCCTGCGTTCCAACGAGTACAAGTCAACTGATTCCAAGTGTTCCCAGTAGTTGAAGTGTTTGATAGAACTTATGTGTGTGCAGTAAAGGTTCTCCGTACATTCTCTAGATCTGCAATTTCACCTTCTTGGAACGGATATGTTAAGGTACAGCAATATTCCAGCCAAGAGAGAACAAGCGATTTAAATGAATTCTGCCCCCAGCAAACTATACTTTGTTCTTGCCTTCAGTCCCAAATCTACATACTCTCACAGTTACTTGCAGGGGTGAGAGATACATTAGAAATTGTATAATATACCCAACGAAAAGCAGGGATACCACAAGCACAAGTGGAAAACAGTATCAACA